TCCAGACCTTGGGGGCCCCTGATCCAGACCTTGGGGGCCCCTGATCCAGACCTTGGGGGCCGCTGATCCAGACCTTGGGGGCCCCCTGATCCAGACCTTGGGGCCCCCTGATCCAGACCTTGGGGGCCCCTGATCCAGACCTTGGGGGCCCCCTGATCCAGACCTTGGGGGCCGCTGATCCAGACCTTGGGGGCCCCCTGATCCAGACCTTGGGGGCCCCCTGATCCAGACCTTGGGGGCCCCCTGATCCAGACCTTGGGGGCCCCTGATCCAGACCTTGGGGGCCCCCTGATCCAGACCTTGGGGGCCGCTGATCCAGACCTTGGGGGCCCCTGATCCAGACCTTGGGGGCCCCTGATCCAGACCTTGGGGGCCCCTACAGGTTGGAGGCTGAAGCTCTCTACTTTACTGAATACATATCAAAGAGCTTTCTCTACGCTCCCTTTCAGTCGACGGATCGATGGATCGACTTCAGCAATATTTTTCTGTATTTTGCGTCTGTTGTTCCACCTTCTACCTGCCCTGCCCCCCCGGCCCCCCCTGCCCCCCCGGCCCCCCCTGCCCCCCCGCCCCCCCCCGGCCCCCCACATCTGGCCCCTGTGACAGATTGAGTGGCTGAGAAGAAGCGGACTGCAGCGTGGCTTGTTAAAGGTGTTGCAAATGAACCCACAGAAGATGAATGTGAGGCGTGTTCAGAGAGAGGCCTGGACCTGCTTTACTGCGACACACAGTCTACATCTGTGACATGTTAGTACCACAGGGACCAGAGGAGCACAGGGACCAGAGGAGCACAGGGACCAGAGGAGCACAGGGACTGGCCTCCTGCTGGGACTCTGAGGAGCACAGGGACCAGAGGAGCACAGGGACTGGCTTGACAGGGGGAGGGGGGGGTCACGATAACCATCAGCTGACAGCGGATTCCAAAAGTGTTCATTTCAAGCAACGAGAAGGCGAAAAGACTGCTGACGTTTACAGATTTACAGACAGCTGCTGTGACTGTCTCTGAAATTATTTATATATTTGAGGCTGAGGTCAAAGATGTTTCTCTTTCTCCGTAATCAATGAGTTTTTGTATTTTATAAGTGCAGAAGATCATGAAAAGGTCTATGCTCCAAATAAAAGATAAAACTCAAAGAAATCTTGATTAGTCTCTCTCTGCTCTCTCTGGTCTCTCTCTGGTCTCTCTCTGGTCTCTCTCTGGTCTCTCTCTCTGGTCTCTCTCTGGTCTCTCTCTGGTCTCTCTCTGGTCTCTCTCTGGTCTCTCTATGGTCTCTCTATGGTCTCTCTATGGTCTCTCTATGGTCTCTCTATGGTCTCTCTCTGGTCTCTCTGGTGTCTCTCTGGTCTCTCACTCTGGTCTCTCTCTGGTCTCTCTCTGGTCTCTCTCTGGTCTCTCTCTCTGGTCTCTCTCTCTGGTCTCTCTCTGGTCTCTCTCTCTGGTCTCTCTCTGGTCTCTCTCTGGTCTCTCTCCGGTCTCTCTCTGGTCTCTCTCTGGTCTCTCTATGGTCTCTCTCTGGTCTCTCTCTGGTCTCTCTCTGGTCTCTCTCTGGTCTCTCTCTGGTCTCTCTCTCTCTGGTCTCTCTCTCTGGTCTCTCTCTGGTCTCTCTCTCTGGTCTCTCTCTGGTCTCTCTCTGGTCTCTCTATGGTCTCTCTCTGGTCTCTATCTGGTCTCTCTCTGGTTTCTCTCTGGTCTCTCTCTGGTCTCTCTATGGTCTCTCTCTGGTCAGAGAGCTGCAGGTGCTAAAGAGCAGGAGGGTGTTGGTCTCAGGCACATTGTGTTCACACGTCTGAACTGGAGCCTGTGAAGTGTGGAACAATGATCAGCAACCGCCATAACCACCGCCATAACCACCGCCATAACCACCGCCATAACCACCGCCATAACCACCGCCACAACCACCGCCATAACCACCGCCACAACCACCGCCACAACCACCGCCATAACCACCGCCATAACCACCGCCACAACCACCGCCATAACCACCGCCACAACCACCGTCATAACCACCGCCATAACCACCGCCACAACCACCGCCACAACCACCGCCATAACCACCGCCATAACCACCGCCACAACCACCGCCATAACCACCGCCACAACCACCGCCACAACCACCGCCACAACCACCGCCATAACCACCGCCACAACCACCGCCACAACCACCGCCACAACCACCGCCATAACCACCGCCACAACCACCGCCACAACCACCGCCATAACCACCGCCATAACCACCGCCACAACCACCGCCATAACCACCGCCATAACCACCCCCCCCATAACCACCGCCACAACCACCGCCATAACCACCGCCATAACCACCGCCACAACCACCGCCATAACCACCGCCATAACCACCGCCACAACCACCGCCATAACCACCGCCACAACCACCGCCACAACCACCGCCATAACCACCGCCATAACCACCGCCACAACCACCGCCATAACCACCGCCATAACCACCGCCACAACCACCGCCATAACCACCGCCATAACCACCGCCACAACCACCGCCATAACCACCGCCACAACCACCGCCATAACCACCAGGATTAGTGCATGACTTCAAATGCGTTGTACATTGTACAGGCAACAGAATCGAAGACACCAAAGAGACACCAGAGAGAGACACCAGAGAGAGACCAGTGAGAGACCAGAGAGAGACCAGAGGAGAGACCAGTGAGAGACCAGTGAGAGACCAGAGAGAGACCAGAGAGAGACCAGTGAGAGACAAGAGAGAGACACCAGAGAGACACCAGAGAGAGACCAGAGAGAGACCAGTGAGAGACAAGAGAGAGACACCAGAGAGACACCAGAGAGAGACCAGTGAGAGACACCAGAGAGAGACCAGAGAGGGACCAGAGAGATATCAGAGAGGGACCAGAGAGAGATCAGAGAGAGACCAGAAAGAGAGACCAGAGAGAGACCAGAGAGAGAGAGACCAGAGAGAGACCAGAGAGAGATCAGAGAGAGACCAGAAAGAGAGACCAGAGAGAGACCAGAGAGAGACCAGAGAGAGATAAGAGAGAGAGACCAGAGAGAGACCAGAGAGAGACCAGAGAGAGATCAGAGATAGAGACCAGAGAGAGAGACCAGAGAGAGACCAGAGAGAGACCAGAGAGAGAGAGACCAGAGAGAGATCAGAGAGAGACCAGAGAGAGACCAGAGAGAGACCAGAGAGAGATCAGAGAGAGACCAGAAAGAGAGACCAGAGAGAGACCAGAGAGAGACACCAGAGAGAGATACCAGAGAGAGATACCAGAGAGGGACCAGAGAGAGACCAGAGAGAGAGACCAGAGAGAGATCAGAGAGAGACCAGAGAGAGACCAGAGAGAGATCAGAGAGAGACCAGAAAGAGAGACCAGAGAGAGACCAGAGAGAGACACCAGAGAGGACACCAGAGGACAGGCTGGTTTCCTTGAGCTTCCTCCCCCGCTTTCCCCTTCCCCTCTTATCTCTAACCACTGGGATGCACAGGGTCTCGGCCGTCACAGTCTACAGTAGTTAGAGAGACAGAGGTCATTAAGCCACCTGTGCCATTCCCTTCATGAAAACACAAAGAAGGCAAGGCAAGTTTATTTGTATGACACGATTCATACACAGGGCGACTCAACTGCACTAACTGACTTTATTTTTGTAGAGAGAGACCAGAGAGAGACCAGAGAGAGACCAGAGAGAGAGACCAGAGAGAGACCAGAGAGAGACCAGAGAGAGAGACCAGAGAGAGACCAGAGAGAGAGACCAGAGAGAGATCAGAGAGAGACCAGAGAGAGACCAGAGAGAGAGACCAGAGAGACCAGAGAGAGAGACCAGAGAGAGACCAGAGAGAGAGACCAGAGAGAGACCAGAGAGAGACCAGTGAGAGACCAGAGAGAGACCAGAGAGAGACACCAGAGAGACACCAGAGAGACACCAGAGAGACACCAGAGGACAGTTGCTGGTGAAGAATTCTTTAAGTTGTACATTTCTCAGTTGTTCCAAACACATATGAAGGCTGCAGTGTAGCGACCCAAAACTCTGTTGCTTCTGGAGAGAAGAGGGCGGGTCCAGTGTAATTGATGACACGCAGCCGATTGTAAAGAACACGCTGGAGGCACGTACTGCGTTTTGTGGATTTAATTTTAGCAACGGTTCCTGATTGTTACAGTGAATATGATACAAGCCTTTGAGTAAAACAGGAAACAAAAGAGTATGGTACAAAAGTGTGCAGTCGACGAAAAATACGGCTACCCGTCTTCTCCCCTCTCCCTGTCACTGAGCAGGAAGCCTTTAAAAACTCCCGGCACGACACCCATGCCCACGTGACCCATGCCCCCTGACACGTTGCCATAGGAACCATACCCACGAACCAATAAGTAATGGCTCCTACATGCAGAGAAGGAGTTGGACTCTCCACCTCAGAAGCTACAGGTACAAACAGCCTGATGCCCTGATCCAGTCCAACCTGCTGCTTACAATCTATATTTCCAGGCTGAGAGTCCTTCTCCTCCTCATCCTTCCAACTCTGAGGTCTGGGTCCGTCTGCACTCGTCTGCGGTTCCTCCAAAAAGGTCCTTATTGTTTGGACATTGGACGTAGAGTTCTCTCACGTCTTGTAAATCTGTTAGCGTCTCTGTGCTAGCCACAGTTTGACACATACACGGCTTCTCCTGGAGGTCCTTCTCGCTAATTTGTTGCTCCAACTGTTTGTGAACTTCGTCCTGCTCCTTAAACATATCCTTGAAAACTCTTAACCCCTCGAGGTACTCCTCAAGCACCTTCTTCTGTGACAGTTTTAGTCCTACCAACTTCTCACAAGTTGTTGCTCAGCAACAACTTCCACCTGCTCCTTAAACATCTCTGACAACTCTCAGCTCCTCGAGGTGAGACACGAGAAAGAAAAGGAGTTACCTCAGAAGCTACAGCTACAAACAGCCTGATGCCCTGATCCAGTCCAACCTGCTGCTTACAATCTATATTTCCAGGATGAGAGTCCTTCCCTCAGTCTCTTTCTGACAATGTTGCTTTGAGAAGTCCTAAAACATACAGCTTCAAGCAGCCTGAGAGACCAGAAAGAGAAGGCCAAAAACAGAGGCTGAAGAGAGAGACCAGAGAGAGACCAGAGAGAGACCAGAGAGAGAGACCAGAGAGAGACCAGAGAGGGACCAGAGAGAGACCAGAGAGAGACCAGAGGGATATATCAGCAATGTCTCATACTTTTACCAAAGTCCCTCTGTTCCCTTTAGTCAGACTTGAGGTTGGAAGTAGCAGCTACAGCGTCTGATCTGTGCTGCTGAGAATGTGTCTTTCTCTTACTGCTCAAACCTCTTCATCAGCGCTGCAACGTTCTTCCCCTTCACCTGGTTCCTCTTCAGCTCAGACCCCTGCTGCTGCTTGTCCTGCTTAGGTTTACCCTCAAATAACTGTGTCAGATTTTTCACCTTTCTCTTTGTGCAATCATCCTTCCAACTCTGAGGTCTGGGCCCGTCTGCACTCGTCTGCGGTTCCTCCAAAAAGGTCCTTATTGTTTGGACATTGGACGTAGAGTTCTCCTCTCTCACGTCTTGTAAATCTGTTAGCGTCTCTGTGCTAGCTACAGTTTGACACATACACGGCTTCTCCTGGAGGTCCTTCTCGCTAATTTGTCGCACCAACTGTTTGCGAACTTCGTCCTGCTCCTTAAACATCTTCTTGAAAACTCTTAGCCCCTCGAGGTACTCCTCAAGCACCTTCTTCTGTGACAGTTTTAGTCCTACCAACTTCTCACAAGCCTCCTGAAGTTCAGCCTCATGTTTCCGTGAGGTTTCTTTGGCTTGTTCCAACTCTCTCCCCAGACTTTGGTTCTGTCGGACAGACCAAGAATACTTCTCTTTGATCTGCTCAAACTCCTGGAGTTGGCGTTCTAGCATCTCAATCTTCTTGCATTGATTTGCAGTCTCATTAATCTCACAAGCCTCTTTACGTTCTGGCTCATGTTTACATGAGATTTCTTTGGTTCGTTCCAACTCTTTCTCCAGACTCTGATTCTGTTTAACAGACCAAGAAAACTCCTTTTTCAACGCTTCAAACTCCTGGAGCTGATGTTCCAGAATCTCAATCCTCTTGTTTTGGATCGAATTCTCCTTCATCTGTTCCTCCAGAGTTTTGCAAACGGAGACCTGCTCTTCCAAACACTGATTTACCATTTTCAGCTCCTCCTGGTGCTCCTTAAACTCTCTCTCCAGACTTTGATTCTGATTAACGGACCAAGAGTACTTCTCTTTCAGCTCTTCAAAGTCCTGGAGTTGGCGTTCGAGTGTCTCAATCTTCTCTCTTTGAATCGCATTCTCACTTTTCTGTTTCTCTAGACTTTTGCAAACAGAGACCTGCTGTTCCAAACACTGATTTACACTTTTCAGCTCCTCAAAGTGCTCCGTACAGACTTTCTCATGTAAAAGTTGCAGCTCTCTCAGTCTCTCACAGGCCTCCTGACGCTCGGACTCATGTCTACGAGAGTTGTTGTTGGCTTGTTCCAGATCTTTCTCCAGACTGTGATTCAAACTTTGCAGCTGCATCAGTTTTGCACAAACCTCCTGATGCTCTGTCTCCTTCTTCGCTAACTTTTCTCTTGCTAGCTCCAACTCTGCCTTTAACTCTGCCTCTTTGACATGTAGGTCTTTGTGGTCCTCAGTCTGTGTCTGACCCTCGCAGGTGGACCAGGTCTCAGTCTGTGTCTGACCCTCGCAGGTGGACCAGGTCTCAGTCTGTGTCTGACCCTCGCAGGTGGACCAGGTCTCAGGCTGTGTCTGACCCTCGCAGGTGGACCAGGTCTCAGTCTGTGTCTGACCCTCGCAGGTGGACCAGGTCTCAGTCTGTGTCTGACCCTCGCAGGTGGACCAGGTCTCAGTCTGTGTCCCGCAGGTGGACCAGGTCTCAGTCTGTGTCCCGCAGGTGGACCAGGTCTCAGTCTGTGTCCCGCAGTTGGACCAGGTCTCAGTCTGTGTCTGACCCTCGCAGGTGGACCAGGTCTCAGTCTGTGTCCCGCAGTTGGACCAGGGGTCAGTCTGTGTCCCGCAGGTGGACCAGGTCTCAGTCTGTGTCCCGCAGGTGGACCAGGTCTCAGTCTGTGTCTGACCCTCGCAGGTGGACCAGGTCTCAGTCTGTGTCCCGCAGGTGGACCAGGTCTCAGTCTGTGTCTGACCCTCGCAGGTGGACCAGGTCTCAGTCTGTGTCTGACCCTCGCAGGTGGACCAGGTCTCAGTCTGTGTCCCGCAGGAGGACCAGGTCTCAGTCTGTGTCCCGCAGGTGGACCAGGTCTCAGTCTGTGTCCCGCAGGTGGACCAGGTGGACTGTGGGAGGTCCGCCTCGCTCTGAGAGTTGCCACAAAGCCACGGAGTCTCAGATCTCTGCTCAAACATCTCTTCAAACTCCTGCAGGTCCTGGTCCAGCTGTGACAGGATCTTTCTAATGTGGTTGTTGTCTTTGGGAACGACGTCTCCCAGCTCCTGACGTTCCATGGTTAATGCAATATGGTCCATACTCACGTCTGTGTCTAAAAACCTGTGTCTGAGACGTGACGTTGCCCCTAGGCCATCGTTTCTCTGGGCCTTGTGATGTCATCGCTGCTTTGACATAACTTGGTAACCTAGCAACCGGCTTTGACATCGGGATCCGGAACAGAGGGGGGGCTGTTCCCATGGCAACCTGTAGTTTTTTTATATTGTGAGATTTTATGCGGAGGATTCAAATCTTTATTGTAACAAAAAAACAGATTGCACTTTATATAAATGTTTATAAATCAAGAAGTTTATTCATGTCTCAGTCCTCATTAGTTTTAAAGGCCAAAAATACTGGTGTGTGTGTCTCTGTGTGTGTGTGTGTTTGTGTGTGTGTGTGTGTGTGTGTGTATGTGTGTGTGTGTGTGTGTGTGGGTCTGTTTGTGGATGTGTGTGTGTGTGTCTGTGTGTGAGTGTGTGTGTGTGTGTGTGTGTGTGTGTGTGTGTGTGTGCACTTGTTTTCAACTCCTAGTGGGTTCCATAACCTGAGATTCCACTCACGTCATGGGGACTGGTTTTACGTGGTGGGGCCCGAACACCGGACCCCACTGGTCCAAGCTTAATAATCAATGGGTAATGCTTTTCTAACAGTCCTTATGCAGTCTCTGTAAAAATATGGAAAGGACCCCTGGAGGTTTACTTTCCTGAAAAAAGTGTGTTATGTGTCGGAACCCTGGTGGTGGGTTGCGGGATATCAAGAAGGGGCACACTGGGGCAATTTCAGTCCAGCAGGCTGGAGCCAATCATGGAGCAGCACAACAGAGGCTGGAGCCAATCATGGAGCAGCACAACAGAGGCTGGAGCCAATCATGGAGCAGCACAACAGAGGCTGGAGCCAATCATGGAGCAGCACAACAGAGGAAATCAGGTGTCAGGCTAGAAAAGGTGCAAGTGTGTGGTTCATTAGGCTGCAGCCAATCACAGAGCAGCACACTGAAGCGCACGCTTACAACCCACTGGTAAGTGCTGACTACAAGTCATGACTTCAAATTGTTACATAGAACTAGAAACCGTTGCAATGGCTGAAGCCATTGCGATTGACTGCGGAACAGATCTAATGTGGAATTTAGCTGAAAAATCCTTGAAATCCTTGAAACTGTTAAAATACTTTAAACATCTTTGAAACTCCTGAAGTATTTGAAGCTCCTGATATCCTTTAAACTGTTATCCTTTATACTGGTTTTCATGTAAAAACCCCTATTAAGTTCCATTATACTGGTTTACATGTAAAAACCCCTATTAAGTTGCATTATACTGGTTTACATGTAAAAAACCCTATTAAGTTGCATTATACTGGTTTACATGGAAAAATCCCTATTAAGTTGCATTATACTGGTTTACATGTAAAAAACCCTATTAAGTTGCATTATACTGGTTTACATGGAAAAATCCCTATTAAGTTGCATTATACTGGTTTACATGTAAAAATCCCTATTAAGTTGCATTATACTGGTTTACATGTAAAAACCCCTATTAAGTTCCATTATACTGGTTTACATGTAAAAACCCCTATTAAGTTGCATTATACTGGTTTACATGGAAAAATCCCCATTAAGTTGCATTATACTGGTTTACATGGAAAAATCCCTATTAAGTTGCATTATACTGGTTTACATGGAAAAATCCCTATTAAGTTGCATTATACTGGTTTACATGGAAAAATCCCCATTAAGTTGCATTATACTGGTTTACATGGAAAAATCCCCATTAAGTTGCATTATACTGGTTTACATGGAAAAATCCCTATTAAGTTGCATTGTACTGGTTTACATGGAAAAAACCCTATTAAGTTGCATTATACTGGTTTACATGGAAAAAACCCTATTAAGTTGCATTATACTGGTTTACATGTAAAAACCCCTATTAAGTTGCATTATACTGGTTTACATGGAAAAATCCCCATTAAGTTGCATTATACTGGTTTACATGAAAAAAAACCCTATTAAGTTGCATTATACTGGTTTACATGAAAAAACCCTATTAAGTTGCATTATACTGGTTTACATGGAAAAATCCCTATTAAGTTGCATTATACTGGTTTACATGGAAAAATCCCTATTAGGTTGCATGATTACACTGAAGTCCTTGAAACTGCTGAAGTCCTTGAAACTGCTGAAGTCCTTGAAACTGTTGAAGTCCTTGAAACTCTTGAAATCTTGAAACTGCTGAAATCCTTGAAACTGTTGAATCCTTGAAACTGTTGAATCATTGAAACTGTAGAAATGTCTGAAAGAGCTGAAGTCCTATTAAAATGCATGGGCCTATTAAAATGCATTGCAGAATTCTCAATGCAGATTTTTGTCCGATTGCGGAAAAACCGGAAATCGCTGAAGTCCCAAAAGTAATAGCAATAATCTCCCAAACATGTGGAACGTTTTGATGTATAACTTGTGGAAATTGTTGAAAATGTGAAAGCTGTGAAACGTGTCAAAAAAAATGACGGAATAAAGAAATACAAAACCAATGGTTGACTGCGGAAGGTTCCGCAGTCAATCAATTAATTGATTGACTGCGGAACCTTCCGCAGTCAACCATTGGTTTTGTATTTCTTTATTCCGTCATTGATTGACTGCGGAACCTTCCGCAGTCAACCATTGGTTTTGTATTTCTTTATTCCGTCATTGATTGACTGCGGAACCTTCCGCAGTCAACCATTGGTTTTGTATTTCTTTATTCCGTCATTTTTTTTGACACGTTTCACAGCTTTCACATTTTCAACAATTTCCACAAGTTATACATCAAAACGTTCCACATGTTTGGGAGATTATTGCTATTACTTTTGGGACTTCAGCGATTTCCGGTTTTTCCGCAATCGGACAAAAATCTGCATTGAGAATTCTGCAATGCATTTTAATAGGCCCATGCATTTTAATAGGACTTCAGCTCTTTCAGACATTTCTACAGTTTCAATGATTCAACAGTTTCAAGGATTCAACAGTTTCAAGGATTTCAGCAGTTTCAAGATTTCAAGAGTTTCAAGGACTTCAACAGTTTCAAGGACTTCAGCAGTTTCAAGGACTTCAGCAGTTTCAAGGACTTCAGCAGTTTCAAGGACTTCAGTGTAATCATGCAACCTAATAGGGATTTTTCCATGTAAACCAGTATAATGCAACTTAATAGGGTTTTTTCCATGTAAACCAGTACAATGCAACTTAATAGGGATTTTTCCATGTAAACCAGTATAATGCAACTTAATAGGGTTTTTTCCATGTAAACCAGTATAATGCAACTTAATAGGGATTTTTCCATGTAAACCAGTATAATGCAACTTAATAGGGTTTTTTACATGTAAACCAGTATAATGCAACTTAATGGGGATTTTTCCATGTAAACCAGTATAATGCAACTTAATGGGGATTTTTCCATGTAAACCAGTATAATGCAACTTAATAGGGGTTTTTACATGTAAACCAGTATAATGCAACTTAATAGGGTTTTTTCCATGTAAACCAGTATAATGCAACTTAATAGGGTTTTTTCCATGTAAACCAGTATAATGCAACTTAATAGGGTTTTTTCCATGTAAACCAGTACAATGCAACTTAATAGGGATTTTTCCATGTAAACCAGTATAATGCAACTTAATAGGGATTTTTCCATGTAAACCAGTATAATGCAACTTAATAGGGTTTTTTCATGTAAACCAGTATAATGCAACTTAATAGGGTTTTTTTTCATGTAAACCAGTATAATGCAACTTAATGGGGATTTTTCCATGTAAACCAGTATAATGCAACTTAATAGGGGTTTTTACATGTAAACCAGTATAATGCAACTTAATAGGGTTTTTTCCATGTAAACCAGTATAATGCAACTTAATAGGGATTTTTCCATGTAAACCAGTATAATGCAACTTAATAGGGGTTTTTACATGTAAACCAGTATAATGCAACTTAATGGGGATTTTTCCATGTAAACCAGTATAATGCAACTTAATAGGGGTTTTTACATGTAAACCAGTATAATGCAACTTAATAGGGTTTTTTCCATGTAAACCAGTATAATGCAACTTAATAGGGATTTTTCCATGTAAACCAGTATAATGCAACTTAATAGGGTTTTTTTCATGTAAACCAGTATAATGCCACTTAATAGGGTTTTTTCCATGTAAACCAGTATAATGCAACTTAATAGGGATTTTTCCATGTAAACCAGTATAATGCAACTTAATAGGGGTTTTTACATGTAAACCAGTATAAATAAACTTAATAGGGGATTTTTACATTTAAACCAGTATAATGCAACTTAATAGGGGTTTTTACATGTAAACCAGTATAATGCAACTTAATAGGGATTTTTACATGTAAACCAGTATAATGCAACTTAATAGGGTTTTTTACATGTAAACCAGTATAATGCAACTTAATGGGGATTTTTCCATGTAAACCAGTATAATGCAACTTAATAGGGGTTTTTACATGTAAACCAGTATAAAGGATAACAGTTTAAAGGATATCAGGAGCTTCAAATACTTCAGGAGTTTCAAAGATGTTTAAAGTATTTTAACAGTTTTTTTCAGCAAGGATTTTTCAGCTAAATTCCACATTAGATCTGTTTCGCAGTCAATCGCAATGGCTTCAGCCATTGCAACGGTTTCTAGTTACAAATTATTTGTTGTTTGTGCAGCTTAGTCAAGAGTCCCTAATTGATGAAGTCGACTCAGATTCTGACGATTTAACTGTCAAGAAGAAACCTGTAAAAAAGTATGGAAAAAGAAAGAAAAAACACTTTTCTTCAAGACTCGGAAAGTGAGGAACCAAAGGCAAACTAGAAACTTGCAATGGCTGAAGCCATTGCGATTGACTGCGGAACAGATCTAATGTGGAAATCTGCTAAAAAGAATCCTTGAAATCCTTTAAAAGGCCTTGAAACTGTTAAAATACTTGATAGATATTTGAAACTCCTGAAGTCCTTGAAATTGTTGAAACCTTTAAACTCCTGAAATCCTTGAAACTGTTGAAACATTGAAACTCCTGAAATCC